ATAGGGAGAGAATGTGCCCACGTAGTTGTTGGTGGGGGGTGGGGGGTGTTGTTTTGATGTTATTTTAATAAAAGCAGTCGGTTGGAACTCTAAACACAAATACCCTTACGCTTCTTTATAATACCACAGAACCTCACCATGAAATACAAAGGTGTATCTGTTAGAAAATAAAAATAAGTGGCAGTTCAGGAGTTGAGACTCTGTGCTTCCCCTGCAGGGGACACAGATTGAGTGGTTGGAGAACTAAGATTCTGCATTCCACACAGCATGGCCAAAAAAATTAACTCCACAACTATCCATTCTACAGCTGTGGCACTGAGTAGTGACTCATTTGATATCAAATCAGCTTTGAAAATATCTCTTCTAATAACTATCAAAGAAATATTGTGATTGACCCAACATTTCGTTCAGCTTTTTCTGCAACATCTTATGGAAAAACACTTTTTGATCAACCTCACACAAGGAAAGGGGATGTCTAGAAAGAAGGTGAGATGGTTGGATGCCATCACTGACTCAATGGACATGAGTTTGAGCAAACTCCGGGAGATAGTGAAGGACAGGGAAGCCTGGCATGCTGCAGTCCATGGGGTGGCAAAGAGTCGCTCACAACTGAGTGACTGAAGAAGAAGAAGGTATGCATATAGGTTAACTATATCCACAGTAATACTGCATAGAAAGCAATTACAAAAATTATCAGCATTAATTTAGCCAGGAGTTTGGGGTTTGGCTGATCCTGGGTAGGCTCATTCATGACTCTGCCCTAGCCTGGACTTGACAGCTTAGCTGGAACAGCTGAGCTCTGCTTGTCTCACCTTTCTCCTGGGACCAATGGGCTAGTCTGGTGATGGTGGAAGTACATGCATGACCATCCTAATGGCCCAAGCTTTTGTTGAGATTCTGGTGCCCATCTGCTTAACATCCCCTTAGCTTAAGTAAGTCATACAGCTGATTCCACTCTGCTTGTCTTTAGTTGTGGAAGAAGGACACTATCAAATTACATGGAAAAAGGCATAACTACAGATAGAGGTGAAGACCTGGAGCCATGAAGGCAGTTTACCACAGTGGCGATACAGAAAGCAGCTCTGTGTGGATCCACCACTTCTCAGTAGAGTTGGACAAGCATGGAGTCTCCAGCATGTGTCAGATACTGTATTATATGTTGAGACTACAAAGATGTGTAATAATACTTGGCTTTTGTTTATGAGAACTAACAATATTTTGAAGAAGATACTGAGCAAGAGCCTGCAGTAGTGAGTTTTGGTTGCTCGTAGGGAAAACAGTCGATTTCAAAGGAAGAAGCTGCTAATCTTAGCAGGATTCAGAATGGAAACACGGATTCTTTATTGTCTGAGCTACCTGGCAGATGTAAGACAGGCTTCCCAGGTGGTGCTAGTGGTAAAGAACCTGCCTGCCAATTCAGGAGATGCAAGAGACGCGGGTTTGATCCCTGGGTTGGGAAGATTCCCTGGAGGAGGAAATGGAAACCTGCTCTCCAGTATACTTGCCTGGAAAAATTCATGGACAGAGGAGCTTGGTGGGCTATAGTCCGTGGGGCCGCGGGAAGTCAGACGTGACTGAGCAACTAAGCACACGTAAGATAGAGCAAATTTCTCACCTAGTGAATCTTCATAAAATTCCAGAGAAGTACCGATTGCCCCCAGCACTAACGCATCCTATCCCCAGACAACCACTGTGATTCATGCTTACTGAGTTGCTGAAGAGTACTTACAAAAATGCAGATAAATCCCACTCTCTGTCCACACTACCGTGTATTTGTGTTCGGGCAGAAAAACAGCCCTGTGTTTGCTCACAGAGCTTTAAGTTCATAACAATAGTTAGTGCTGGGCCTCTTAACTTCTGCAATATTGGATTGAACCGTATGAAACTGCCAACATACAATCAGTTTTGACCAGAACATAGGCAATTCCATCGTGAGGCAGGAGATAGATGGGCTCCAGGCTAGCCTCTTGTTTCCATTTCCTGTGGAAGGGGGCAGGTGAGCTCCAGGTTAGATATTTACAATGAGTCTCCTGCTTGCACTTCGAAGTAGAAATAACAACAGGAACAGGGTAAATAGCCAGATTTTGCCTCTTGAAGACATTTTAAGATAACAGTCAAGGCAGGAACAGAGAAGGGCTAAATCCTGTTTGAGTAAAAGATCAAGAGATCATACAGTTCCCATCTTTGGGGCAAGGGAGACTTCGCACATGCATAGAAAATCCCCCTGGGGGTCAAAAAGGAGGGGGCGACACCTAAGAACAGGTGATAGCAAGGCCACCACCATAGCCGATTAACAGTGTTGTGATAGTTTCTGGTGAACAGCAAAGGGACTCAGCCATACATACACATGTATCCATATGGGCATGTGTGCTCAATCGCTTCAGTTGTGTCTGACACTTTGTGATTTCACGGACTGTAGCCTGGCAGGCTCCTCAGTTCATGGAATTCTCCAGGTAAGAACACTGGAATGGATTGCCATGCCCTCCTCCAGGGGATCTTCCTGACCCAGGGATCAAACCGACATCTCCTATATTTCCTGCATTGCAGGCAGATTCTTTAACTGGTGATCCACCGGAGAATCCCATAAAAATATCCATTTCCCCCCAAACTCCCAGGATGTCACATAACATTGAGCAGAGTTTCATGGGTTATAGGTCTTTGTCAGTTATCCATTTTAACTATAGCAGTGTGTAATGTCCATCCCAAACTCCCTAACTATCCATTCCTAACATCCTTCCTTCTGGCAACCATAAGTTTGTTCTCTGTGAGTGTGTTTCTGTTTTGTAAGTAAGTTCATTTGTATAATTTCTTTTTAGATTCCACATATAAGGGATGCCCTATGATATTTCTCCTTCTCTGAGTTACTTCACTCAGTAGGACAATTTCTAGGGCCATTTTGTTGCAAATGGCATTATTTCATTCTTTTTAATGGTTGAGTAATATTCCATTGAATATGTGTACCACATCTTCTTTATCCATTCCTCTGTTGGTGGATATTTAGGTTGCTTCCATGTCTTGGTTATTTTAACAGTGTTGCAGTGAACACTGGGGTGCATGTGTTCTTTCGGGTCATGTTTTTCTCCAGATACATGCCCAGGAGTGGGATTGCAGGGTCACATGGTAGCTCCATTTTTAGTGTTGTAAGTAACCTCCATGCTGTTCTCCATAGAAGCTGTAACTGTTTACATTCGCACCATTAGTGTAGGAGGGGTCCCTTCTCTTCACATCCTCTCCACCATTTATTGCTTGTGGATTTTCTGATGATGGTCATTCTGGCTGATGTGAGGTGATAGCTCATGGAGTAATATTTTATTTATTTACTTTTGGTTATGCTGGGTTTTCATTGTTTTGCTTGGACTTTCTCTAGTTGCCATGAGAGAGGGCTACTCTTCACTTAGGCACAGGATTCTCACGGTGGGACTTCTCTTGTTGCCGAGCACAGGCTCTAGGGCATGCAGGCTCAGTACCTGTGGCAGGCAGGCTCTAGGATGCTCAGGCTTCAGTAGCTGTGTCTTAGTTGCTCTGTGGCATGTATCCGGAGGAGGGATCGAATCCGTTTTCCCTGCAGTGTCAGGCAGATTTTTATCCATTGTACCACCAGGGAAGCCCTTGATCTCTGATTTTAAAACCAGGTTTGTGTTTAGATTCAAAATCCTACAGGGCAGCCTGCAAAGTTAACAGTCATAAAACTATGATCTATAATCTATTTTCAAAAACTCACTTGTCCCTTTCTTGTCCCTCATGCGCTCTGTGCAAGAAATACATAATCTCTAGAGGTACTCCCCAAATTTGCTCTTCCACTGCTGCCCTCATACACTTCTCTTTTTCTTTTGCACTTCTTGCTTCAAATCCCTTTAAAAAATGGCCTGGGATTCTCTTATTGGTCACCTTCACTCCTAAACTCTTCTTGCTTTCCTCCCCTTCAAAAAACCAAGACCTAGTACGAAACAGCAGTTTATGAGGAAAGAAGGAAGAGAGAAAAGGTAGGAACACTGATATGCCAATAGTATTTTATTCTTGCTCCCCATTCCGCAACAGAAAGAACTAATTTACATTTAAAAGGTCGATATACTTATTTTAGTAGGTAAATGGTTAAACAACATCAGACTATTGAGCATGAGGAGACAACGTTCTAATCAGTGGAACAGTATTCAACATTGTAAGCCAAGAACCCAAGTTAAAACGAATCTTATCATGTTAGAACTTACTTTTATAAAGATTTCAATGTATCGGTGACACTTTAAATTGCCTCAGCCTTTCTTTTTCAAACAAACTCGATTACATAAAACAAGAAGAATAACGTGCTGATAACTTTTGATCAATTTCTTTTTGGGGGTACAAAATAATGTAACTTTTTTCTTATTTACGGCGGCATTTTTCTGACATGTGCCAGACGGTCAATAACCAAGACACCAGTATTTGACTATTAAATAAACTGAGAAGTGATAAATAAAAGCGCCAATTGCCTTCAGAAGTGAAAATGAATCATGCCTAGAAAGTAGTGTTAATGGGGAAAAATAAAGAAGAGACTGCTCTTATACAACTTCTTAAAACACATTAAACAAAAAATTGTCCATGTGATGATGATAATGAGTTTCTCCTAAATTTGCCTCATTGTTGTATCAAACAAAAACTGAAAGACAAATGAAATTAGAAGAGCAAACAATATACCTTCACCTTACTGTGTATTGTATACTGACAAAGATTGAAAAACAGCATCAACAAGGCAAAAAGCTACTGGAACGCTCCACCTATGGTTCTTTGTATATGGAAACATACAACCGACATCCGGCCGCGGTGCTCACCCGCCCTCAAACTCTGCAGCCAACCTCCGCAGTAGGCGGGGGCAGCTTGATCAGCCCCAACCCAGCCTTCAGAAACGACTCTCAACGTTGGCGGCGCGACCGGAAGTGACGTCAAGCTGCGACGCCAGCGCCTGCGGAGGCATTTGGTCAATCTGGAGACGGCGTCTTTCACCGGATGGTTGCTAGAGTGGGATCATGACGGGAAAGAAGTCTTCCAGGGAGAAGCGGCGCAAACGAAGCGGTCAGGAGGCGGCGGCGGCCCTCGCGGCGCCGGACCTGGTCCCCGCAGTAGGCAGCAGTGGCAGTGGAAGCACCAGCGGCTGCGGGAGCGCAAGCGGCTGCGGGAGCGTCACCTGCTGTGGGAGCACTAGCGCGAGTGGAAGTGTCACCGGCGGCGGGAGCGGCAGCAGCTGCTGGGGTGGCAGCAGCGTGGAGCGCGGTGAGCGTAGGAAGCGGAGAAGCACTGACTCATCTTCCAGCGTCGCCGGCTCTCTGCAGCAGGTGCGTGCGCGTCTTTCTCGCCGCTTCTCGAAGCGGCCGCGTTTTCAGAAGGCGGGCGAAGAGCGGGATGTGACTATGGGATGCGTAGCCTGGCGTCGCTCCTGTTAGCGCTGCGGTCCTACAGGATCCGGTGATGAAGTGCACGTTCCTAAGTTCCCTTGAACCCCACACTCCCACGACTTGAATTTAAAATTTCTGGCTTTGCTGATCGTCTGACCCATGTTGCCTTTAGCTCCTTCCACTCCTGTGGTCACCTTTCAGTTCAGTTAAGTTCAGTCGCTCAGTCGTGTCCGACTCTTTGCGAACCCATGAATCGCAGCACGCCAGGCCTCCCTGTCCATCACCAATTCCTGGAATTTACTCAAACTCATGTCCATCGCGTTGGTGATGCCATCCAGCCATCTCATCCTCTGTCGTCCCTTCTCCTCTTGCCCCCAATCCCTCCCAGCAACAGGGTCTTTTCCAATGAGTCAACTCTTTGCATGAGGTCGCCAAAGTCTTGGAGTTTCAGCTTCAGCATCAGTCCTTCCAATGAACACCCAGGACTGATCTCCTTTAGGATGGACTGGTTGGATCTCCTTGCAGGGTGGGCACCTTAGCCTCCCTGAAAAGTTTGGTTCAGGAACTAGCCTTCAGTGCCCTTGCAAGCCCCGCCTTACTTCTCTTCATCTACTTGATACAAGATGAGAAAATTGAGGATCAAAGAGATTAAGGACGTTTACCCGTAGTTAGCAATTTGTTAATAACACCTACATTCGAATCCAATATGTGATTATAAAAGCCCTCTTTACTGTGGTACATATATACACAATGGAATATTACTCAGATATTAAAAAGAATGCATTTGAATCAGTTCTAATGAAGTGGATGAAACTGGAGCCTATTATACAGAGCGAAGTAAGTCAGAAAGGAAAACACCAATACAGTATATTAACGCATATATATGAAATTTAGAAAGATGGTTATGATGGCCCTATATACGAGACAGCAAGAGAGACACAGATGTAAAGAACAGACTGTTGGACTCTGTGGGAGAAAGTGAGGGTGGGATGATTTGAGAGAATAGCATTGAAACATGTATATAATCATGTGTGAACTAGATCACCAGTCCAGGTTCGATGCATGAGGCAGGGTGCTCAGGGCTGGTGCACTGGGATGACCCAGAGGGATGGGATGGGGAGGGAGGTGGGAGGGAGGGTCAGGATGGGGGACACATGTACACCCATGGCTGATTCATGTGAATGTATGGCAAAAACCACCACAGTATTGTGAAGTAATTAGCCTCCAATTAAAATAAATAAAAAACCAAAAGAAATAAAACCCCTCTTTATGCCCCTTCGACCTGGCAAAATACTGCCGTTTAAAAAAAAAAAAGGTTACTCACATTATAAGATGCAGGAAAAAAATAAAAACACAAAAAAACCAATTACAGGACTGCATGCTTTAAATACATACAACACAAATGATGGGAAATGGAAGGCTTTCTTTATGCTTCCTCATTAATTGTTTGATACGCAGCCCCTTCGTTAACTCATCAGCCGTGATATTTCTTATTTTTTGTTATTTTGCATTATCTAAGGCTTTTTTCTTTTTTTTCAATCTTTTAGTGTAGTGTTGAACACAGGCATTCATAGCAGGCATTCTTTTCCCATTCCTTTTTGTAGTAGAAACAGTTTTTTTAATTTTATACCAGTAAGTCTATCTGTCATAGGTTCTGAAAGATATCTGATCAAGTTAAGAAAATTTTTAATTTCTGGTTTTCTGAGATTTTGTGGAGTTTTATCAGATACCTTTAGGGCATTCTGTTGAGGGGTCATACAGTTTTCTTCCTTTAATATGATAATTAATTTTATTGATAAATTGAATTGTCCTTGCTTTTTGAGATAAATCCTATTTGATTTGTTGATTTGGTGGTTGTACTTGACAGTAATTCAGTATTTTTATTAAATACTTTTGTGTTTATGTTAAGTTAAATCAGGTTATGGTTTTTATTTTTGTAGTTACCCTGTTTTGTTTTCGTATTGAGCTATGGATTGAGTTGGGAAAATATAACAGTTTTTTTTTTTTCATGTATTCTAGAGTAGTTTATATCTTTCTCTCAAGAGTGTACTTGACTGTTGGACCTTACAGCTGTTTGGGTCTGGTAGATTTTTCTAGGGGTAGTGTTTTTTTCCTTAATGCCTCTCATCTTTTTTTCTTCCCCACTTTCTTTGATAGTTATAGGTATATTCAGTTTTTCTAGATTTAGTTTTGGATCAGTTCAGTTCAGTCAGTTAGTTGTATCCTACTCTTTGTGACCCCATGGACTGCAGCACAGCAGGCTTCCCTTTCCATCACCAACTCCTAGAGCTTGCTCAAACTCATGTCCATCGAGTCGGTGATACCATCCAGCCATCTCATCCTCCGTCATCCCCTTCTCCTCCTGCCTTCAATTTTTCCCAGCGTCGGGGTCTTTTCCAGTGAGTCAGTTCTTTGCTTCAAGTGGCCAAAGTTTTGGAGTTTCAGCTTCAACATCAGTCTTTTCAATGAATATTTGGGACTGATTTCCTTCAGTATTGACTGGTTGGAGCTCCTTGCAATCCAAGGGACTCTCAAGAGTCTTCTCCAACACCATAGTTGAAAAGCATCAATACTTCGATGCTCAGCTTTCTTTATGGTCCAACTCTCACATGCATACATACTGGCAAAAACATAGCTTTGACTAGATGGACCTTTGTGGGCAAAGTGATGTCTCTGCTTTTTAATATGCTGTCTAGGTTTGTCATAGCTTTTCTTCTAAGGAGCAAGCATCATTTGATTTCATTTTTGGATATCACCATTCTTGCCTTAAATAGTTTGCATATTTTTAGTACTCTATTATTATGAGAAGACCAGTAGTAAGGACTGTGTAAGTATTTGCATACAGAACTAAATTGTACTTTTATGAGAAGTAGTTCATTGGGAAGTCTTACAAATAGGGAGGATGATTGTGTGTGCATTTATAAAATCCATTTTGGTGACAGTATACAAAACGGATTGGCAAGACCTTTGATTAGATGTAGGGAGTCCAGTGTGTGTGAACTCACTCACTCAGTCGTGTCTGACTCTTTGTGGCCATGGACTGTAGCCCACCAGGCTCCTCTGTGCATGGGTTTTTCCAGGCAAGAATACGGCAGTGGTTTGCCATTTCCTGTCCCAGGGGAATCTCCTCCATCCAGGGATCGAACCTGCATCTCTTGGCAGGCAGGTTCTTTATCACTCATGCCACCTGGAGGTAATCTAGGCAAAAAGGATGTTGCCTTGGATCAGCATTCTGGCAGTAGACTTGAGAGACTGGATAGATTTGGAAAATAGTAGGCAAAGTTGATTGAATTATCTTAAATTACTTGCCTGCTTTGAATATGATTGGATATTTAACAGTTTTAAAAATGACAGTAGCTTCTGGCAAGCAGTGGTACTTAATTATATATGTGATTTGTAACATTTTGCTGCTGTTTCTTTTTAAGAATTAAGAAGAATGACCATACATACAAAAAATTCTTGGGTGAATGGTCTACTGGAGGAGTATCGTATTCTTCAGAAGTCTGAAATTATAGGAAATTATTCAGTATTGAGTATATTTCCATTTGTGTGTTGTAAGATATTATTATTTCTTCACTTTTTATCAATTTGCTGATAATTACAGCCTGGAGAGTAATGTCAAAGAATACTGAGTAATTAAATAGTCTTTTCTGTGGTTTTAAATAACTGATTTATGCAACCAAAGAATTTGGAGATGTTTAATAAAGATTTTATTAAATGATGTATGACTTTATAGATGTATTTTTATTGTTTAATGGTTCTTTATGTCTTTTAATTTTAGGAGACCAAATATCTTTTGCCACCTCTGGAAAAAGAGTTATTCTTGGCAGAGCACAGTGACCTTGAAGAAGGTGGATTAGACCTGACTGTGGCATTAAAACCAGTTAGTTTCTATATATCAGACAAAAAAGAAATGCTTCGGCAGTGTTTCTGTATCATAGGAGAGAAGAAGTTACAGAAGATGCTTCCTGATGTGTTAAAGGTACTTCATGACATACATTCGCAGGTTCCCCACTATATAGAAATATACAAAAACTTTCTTTGTAGCAGTCATTTTACTTAATGGAAATTATAATTGTGTGTTTTCAACTAAGCTACTTCAAAAAGATAAAGGGATTTTGCAGAACCATAATGGCTTTGTGTATTGAAAAATTTGCCAGAAAGAAATGGGACACTTTACCGTATTTAGGTAAGGAATTTTTTGACCTTCTGGGAATAATTCTATTAAATATTGGCAATTTAAGTAACTAGATTAGACATACACTGATTCTTTTCTTTTGCTTTAGGAAGTAGTATACTGCTGTGTAACAGTATGTAATAAAAGGAAGTAAGTGAAAGTGTTAGTCACTCTCATGTTAGACTCTTTGTGACCCCATGCACTGTAGCCCACCAGGCTCCTCTCTCCATGGAATTCTCCAGGCAAGAGTACTGGAGTGGGTTGCCATTTCCTTCTCCAGGGTATCTTCCCAATCCAGGGATTGAACCCCAGGTCTTCCACGTTGCAGGCAGACTACCAACTGAGTCATCAGGGAAGACCACAGTATGCAATGATAGTTGGTAATATCCTGTATTTCATTAAATTCATAAATGTTTTTCTATGTTTATTTCTGAAAATTACTCAGAAACATATGTGGTGTTGTAATTTTACTGATATGGAAAAAAGACTTGGACAAGTTAAACCCAATAACATATATATCTTAAGATGAATGGAGCCAGGGCTTGAATATTTAAGCCTTTAGTGGTATTAGCCTAACATAATTAGGAGAAGATTCTTGAGAGTCCCTTGGACTGCAAGGAGATCCAACCAGTCCATCCTAAAGGAAATCAATCCTGAATATTCACTGGAGGGACTGATGCTGAAGCTGAAACTCCAATACTTTGGCCACCTGATAAGAAGAGCTAACTCATTTGAAAAGACCCTGAGGCTGGGAATGATTGAGGGCAGGAAGAGAAGGGGATGACAGAGGATGAGATGGCTGGATGGCATCACCGACTCAACGGACATGGGTTTGGGTGAACTCCGCGAGTCGGTGATGGACAGGGAGGCCTGGCGTGCTCGGGTTCATGGAGTCACAAAGAGTCAGACACAACTGAGCGACTGAACTGAACTGAAATAGGCTGCTATTAACAGTATCTGGGCACCTGACTCACTCTTCAGTTTGTTCTTTCATAGTAAACATGACTTTATATATTCCAATTAAAACTATAAATTATAATGTTTGCTTGTTAACTGGCAGGTCTTCAGATTTTATCCCATAAAAAAGATTTTTGTGACTTTTCATTGGTTTGACTGCACAGCTTTGCTAAGCAAGACTTTTTTTGTTTTTTAAATGCTTGTTGTTTTCTAGTTTACTTTGGTGCTGTATTATATAAATGCATTTTTTAAAATATCATTTTCTTTAGAACTGTTCAATAGAAGAAATTAAAAGACTTTGCCAGGAACAGCTAGAGCTCCTGTCTGAAAAAAAAATTTTGAAGATTCTTGAGGGTAAGAATGCATATTTCTACCTTCTGGTAACTTACTATAGATATTTAATCCTGTATTAGCATAAATCATGAGGTATTTTTACTTGACTTCAGCTTTATTCTTAGTCATTAATTAATTAATATTTTTACTTCTCTTTATACAAAATTATAGTTTATATCTTAGAATAGCATCTCTGGAATGGACTTTTTGATGTATGTGAGGTTTTCCCAAATCAGTTATATAGGTAAGAACTTTTAAGTTTGTGTGAAAAAAAAAAGAAAAAAGTTTATCCAAAATTCTATAAAAAATTAATTATTAAGAAGGCAAAGACTTCTTTTAAGATATTTTTTAGTTTTTTGCTTTCTCATTGCTTCTAATTATCCATTGAATACCATTTCTGCTCTAATAAGAGCCAAATGCAGAGTTAGAATAATTTCTTGCAAATTCCTGACATTTGTCTGCCTAAAGTAAGACTCTTCTTTGTGATACATTACCTATAGAATTTTGTGTTTTTAAGCTGGGATTTTTTTTTTTTTTGACTCTTCAAGGATTTTAGTACTAGCGTTACAAGAGAAGGAACAAAAAAATGGAGACTTTCAATTTCTAGAGATAACATCTTTTTAAAATGTAAAATGGTTTAATGGAATTTGTAACTGATAAAAGATGTGTAGATGTGTGTATAGTCTGTAAGTATATATATGTATATATACACATTCTCATTTATATACATTTTGTGCATTTATAGAATAGATAAATAGGATAGATACCTAAAAAGACATTTTAAATATAATAATTAAAACTGTCATCTTTCAACAGCTATCAGGTTTCTTAATCTGTCACTTTATAGATGAAGCCTTCTGTATAATGATAAGTTGCTCTGACTTTTTGTCTTATAAGCGTGTTTTCCGTTTTTTGTTTTTTAATGTCATTCACCAGGTGACAATGGTTTGGACTCTGAAATGGAAGAAGAAGCAGATGACGGCTCTAAGATGGTATCTGATTTAGTTAATCAGTAAGTTAAAAGCATTTATTGTAATTTCAGAATTGCTTTATCATCTCTGGTGATTTCTTACCTCAAGAATGTGATTGTTTTTCTGTGTTATAGTTATATAAAGAGATTCAACAATGTTGGATTGATTTTTTTACTTGTAGTGATTGGTCCTTTTGATTGGTGAGGATGGAATTAATTGCTTTGAGGATTAAGATAATTTTATTACACTACTGCTCAGAAACAGGACTGTAACAGTGCCAACACTGAAGCAGAATCACATCTCTCACTTGGAATTTGAATATATATACTACTACTGACACCCACTGTTTATTAAGTACTTACTATAACAAACATGTTAATAGTTTAGAAGACTTTATCTCACTGAATTCTCCTACATACCTCTTAATGTTTGGTGATAATAGCTTCTTTTCATGGATCAGATAGTAAGCTGGTTCATTTGATATCAGTTCAGTCAGTTCAGTCGCTCAGTGGTGTCCAATTCTTTGCGACCCCATGGACTGCAGCATGCCAGGTTTCCCTGTCCATCACCAACCCCAGGAGCTTGCTCAAACTCATGTCCATCAAGTTGGTGATGCTATCCAACCACCTCATCCTCTGTCGTCCCCTTCTCTTGCCTTCAGTCTTGCCCAGCATCAGGGTTTTTTCCAATGAGTCAGTTCTTTGTTTGATATAGGTACATTTAATTTGACTATTGTGATGATGAAAAATAGCTGAAGTTTTTGAATGCCAACTAATTAAGAAGTGACATGCTAATTTTCTAGGCTATTTTGCTCTGCCGTGGGCTTATTAAACTTTCACCCACTAATTTTATCATCTGTTCTGATTTTTTACTAAAATATTTTTTTTTGGTCATCACCAAAGACTGACTTGCATCTCTGTTTGCAAAGTTTGGCTGTAGACAGTAGCCCAAATAAAAACATAACCAGAGACAGTAACATAAATCAGTAGCACATATTTAACCTGAAACCTGAGTATATTTTCATTTCTAATACAGTGCTATTGGGTAAGTATCACTGGAAAAAGACAATGTAATTTCATATTATAACTATAGAGAGAGCATCAGCTACTTATACTGGAGCACTGAAGAAATCATTGTATCTTGGCTGCCTCATAATCAGTAGATTTTTGGTCATCACATTCATCTTGCCTCGGAATGTCATAGGATGGTTTATACTTACCCACAAAGTATAAAATGTACACATTGCTACCGTCTTGCTATTGACTTTTCTTCAAAATATGTGGCTTTAAATTGCTTATATGTATGCTCATCTAGTTTAGCTAGTTTAAGCCTGTCACTTTTTAGTTTTACATTTTAGTTTCTTAAATAATCTAAATTAATCATCTTGTTTCTTGATGCTTTTTACAGAGCATCAACTTTTGCTTGATTACTTTTGTTTTGCCTTTGTTTAAATGTGTTTATTTTTCCAATTTTTGAGGTGTTTTCAAGGTTAAGTCCTTTATTGTTCACACCTGAACACTAATGCTACTTTTCTACTGTTAGAAGCCATTTAATGGATATCTAATTAGATTAGAAATTTGTTTCTTTTTTAAAAAATTACAACAAAGTACAGTATTTGACTTCTGAACTTTTCTAATAAAAGAAAGGTGGTTAGATTCAAAGTGACTATTGTGAAAAACCGAGTTTTACAATGTTACCATGAGACAGGTCATGTTAGCTTTTAACTGCTGCAGTGAGTAGGTTAAGCAATCACAGATATTACCCAAAATTGTCATAGTAGCCACTTGTGGACCTGATAAGTGTCAGATCATTGAGATTCTTTTGAGTTATTTGAGTATATAGGCTTTAAAAAAAATCATATTTGTAAGCTACAGGATGCCAAATAAATAATAATATTAAGAGTATTGTATGCCAGACACTGTTCTAATCACTGTACTTGCCTTCATTCACTCATTGGGTTTGTACACTAGCCTTGTGAGGTGGGTGGTATTGGTATTATCATTTTACAGATGACAGATAAGGTCTAGAAAGATTTGTGTGCCTGAGATCACACAAATGAATGTGGAAGTAGAAGGAGTGTTAGTTATGAAGAGACTTTAAGTGTTCATGTAACAGGACCTGGCTTTAAAACACTTAATCTTCTCTAAAATCACTTTGTACATTTGTAAAATATGGGTAATACTTGGCCCCAATAGGATAATTGGGATTAAATGGTAGTGGAGTGGTAAAGAATCCACCTACCAGTGCCAGAGATGCAGGTTTAATCCCTGGGTCAGAAGATCCGCTCGAGTAGGAAATGGCAATGTGCTTCAGTATTCTTGCTGGAGAATTCCATGAACAGAGGAGCCTGGCGGGCCGTGATCCATGTGGTCACAAAGAATCAGACATGGCTGATGTGACTTGTTTGTTATTTAAAAAAATTTTTTTACTGTTTTGTTACTAATCTTAATTATGAATAGGGAGATACACTGCACTGTGAAACAGTGAAGGTGGGACAGGGAAATAATGTGGGGAAATGTGGGCCTTAGCCCACATTGCTGACTTGACAGTTTGCTGCTTGCTTTCTGCTCAGAGGTCAGTTCAGTCCTGTTAATTTCTTTTGAGTTGAACTGAACCTGGCGGGCACGCTCATATAAACTTCATTCCAGTGCTTCAGCAGAGGGTTAAGTTAGTTAACATGTTTGGTACTTGGTGCTGAAAAGTGTCATGTTTTTTATTACCTGCTGGTTTTTTACTGTAAAAGATAACAGTAGTCTGACCTTTTTGGATGCTGAGGGAACAGTTATGAGTAGGCAAGAACCTTCAAGGAATTCAGCAATTTGGGAGAGGAATATAAGGCTGAATACATTGAACAGGTAGCTTCTGTGGAACACAGGATTGATAGGCAAGAGGAAAGGAAACCTTAGCAAAGTAATGATAACTCTCAAAGAAGTAGAGTTAGAACACAAATGTAGTTTCAGGAACTAAACAATTCTGAATTCCTAAATTTAGGAGACGAACAACAGATTAGCCATGACTGGAGGCTAGCTACATCATTGTGCTAAGAAATTAAATTGAATGAATAAATAGAGAATAGTGAAGAGAAACCACACACAGAAAGTGTCAATCCTTATGTATAACTCGTGGTTACCTGGAAGACAGTTTTAGACCTATCTTGAACATCCTAGAAATCCTGGAAAGAGAAACAAATAGCTAGAAAAGAATTGAAGAAATGATAGAAGTAACATTTTTTAATTTAAAGATGTAAGACTGTAAGGACAAGGATAACGATCTGGTTATGAGTTGAATTGTGTCCCTCCAGAATTCATATATGGAAGTCCCTAACCCTTAGCACTTCAGAACATAACCTTATTTGGAGATTAGGTCTTTAAAGAGGTGATTTGTTTGTTGTTTAGTCCCTGAGCCATCTCTCATTCTTTTCCGACCCCATGGACTATACAGCTCGCCAGGCTCCTCTGTCCATGGGATTCTCCAGGCAAGAATATGGGAGTGGGTTTCCATTTCCTTTTCCAGGGATCTTCCCTACCCAAGGACTGAACCTGCGTCCCCTGCTTGGCAGGCAGATTCTTCACTACTGAGCCACTGGGAAGCCCAAAGAGGTGATTAGGTCAGCCCAGTCCGACTGGTGTCCTTATAAGACAAGGGAACTTGAGAGCCCTGAGAGGCTCCAGGGCTGGGCAGACACAGAGCAGAGCCGTGGGGACGCTGTCTGCAAGTCAGGGAGAGGCCTCAGAGGGAGCCACACCTGCAGACACCTTGATCTTCCACCTCCACCTTGCAGAACTGTGAGAAATACATTTTTATTGCTTAAGCCAGCCAGTCTTGGTATTTTGTTATGACAGCTCTAGCAGACAAATACAAACTTATATGTATATGTGTGTACGTGTGTAAATTTCCTGGTGAAACTTTTCCCCCGAACTTTTTATTTTGAAAAACTTGCAACTTATATTTTGGAGAGCTTTAAACTTATGTAAAATTGAAAGAATGATATGATGAACATCCATATACTTTCTGCCTAGATTCAGCAACAGTAAGATCTTGCCAGTTTTGCTTTCTCTCTCTTCTTACATTTATCCTTTTTCCCCAGGAACCATTTGTATTAGGTTGCTGGAGCTGCCAGAGCAGAGTACCATAGCCTGGCTGGGTTAAACAGCAGAAGCTTGTTTCCTCACCATTCTGGAGGAAAGTCCAGGATTAGGGAACTGACAGAGCTCTCTCCTCTGAGGCCTCTCTCCTTGACTTGCATATGGCCACCCTCTTGCTGCCTTTTCCCTTGGTTGACTTCCCTTGTGTGTCTCCCTGTTGTCTCTGTCTGTGTGCTGTTCTCCCCTTATAAGGTCACCAGTCACACTGGATTAGGGCCCACCATTATGGCCTTCAGTCCGTTAGGTTCAGTCGCTCAGTCGTGTCTGACTCTTTGCGACCTCGTGGACTACAACACGCCAGGCTCTCCTGTCCATCACCAACTCCTGGAGCTTGCTCAAACTCATGTCCATCAAGTCGGTGATGTCATCCAACCATCTCTTCCTCTGTCGTCCCCTTCTCCTCCTGCCTTCAGTCTTTCCTAGCATCAGGGTCTTTTCTTTTTTTTTTTTTAGGGTCTTTTCTAAGGAGTCAGTTGTTTGCATCAGGTGGCCAAAGTATTGGAGTCTCAGCTTTAGCATCAGTCCTTCCAATGAATATTCAGGACTAATTTCCTTTAGGATTGACTGGTTTGATCTCATTGCAATCTGAGGGACTCTCAAGAGTGTTCCCCAACACCATAGTTCAAGAGCATCAGTTCTTCAGCGCTCAGCTTTCTTTATGGTCCAACTCTCATATGCATACATGACTACTGGAAAAACCATAGCTTTGACTAGACAGACCATTGTTGGCAAAGTAATGTCTCTGCTTTTTAATATGCGGTCTAGGTTTGTTATAACATTTCTTCTAAGGAGCAAGCGTCTTTTAATTTCATGGCTACAGTCGCCATCTGCAGTGATTTTGGAGCCCAAGAAAGTAAAGTCTGTCACTGTTTCCACATCTATATGTGATGAAGTGA